CCTCCCACCACCCCTCCAGCCACCCTCAGTCTGTTCTCCATATTTATGAGTCTCTTCTGTTTTGTCCCCCTCCCTGTTTTTATATTATTTTTGTTTCCCTTCCCTTATGTTCATCTGTTTTGTCTCTGAAAGTCCTCATATGAGTGAAGTCCTATGATTTTTGTCTTTCTCTGACTCTCTAATTTCACTTAGCATAACACCATCCAGTTCCAGCCACATAGTTGCAAATGGCAAGATTTCATTCTTTTTGATGGCCGAGTAATACTCCATCATATATATAGACCACATCTTCTTTCTCCATTCTTCCATCAGTAGACATTTGGGCTCTTTCCATCCTTTGGCTGTCGTCGAGAGTGCTGCCATAAACATGGCAGTGCACGTGCCCCTTCGAAACAGCACACCTGTATCCCGTGGATAAATTGTGCTCTGACTTTTCTAGGTCTTCCACCCCCAAGTCACTTGTAAGCCCTGGGCCCAGACCAGGCAAGGCGAGTCATGGGAAGGGGTGCCCCAAACTCCAATAATAAGGCAAATCACATTTAAAAACATCAAAATCCATGCAAAATCCACTTCTGTCGCCAAAAATGTAAAGACAGGATCGGTTTTACCCATTCCTTCTGCCTCGGGCTCCAGTATGGCACAGCCCCAGACCCCATCCCGTCTTTAAAATCCTGACGCTTTGCGGCCTCCTCTTTGGTGTTAACTTTTATTTCTTTAAATAGCACGTTAAATGTTTTTCCCTCGCTCGAGTGCTGGGTTTTCTGGTGCCTCACCCTGGCCCAGGCCCCCACCGCACCCCCCCAACCCCGGCGCCCCTTCCCACTTGCCCACTTCCGGCAGGGGGCTGAGTGGGCAGGAAACCAGTGTCCTGCCCGGCCCGGGACCAGGCCCACCCCCCTGGAGCCGCAGCTAGTGCGAGCAAACACAGGCACTGTGGCTCCCAGGGGTGGCCTGGGCACTGCGGCTGAATGCACTGTGTCGTATTTACAGTAGGCCTGCTGAGGTCCATGGGGTGCCATCGTCCGGGCCTAACCCGCACAGGTCAGCTCCCAGCCCTCCCCGAGTTCTCAGAGTTGCCGCTCCCGTCGCGTCCTGGAGGCCAACTTCTGATCTGCCCTTGCGTTTCCTTTCGTCCCTCTTTTTGCCACAGAGATGCCCTCCCTGCTCCAGCCCTGCTCTGGGCTCAGGATGCGGAGGCCGACACAGTGGAGGGAAATGCCTCCCGTCTCTCTCGGGCCTCCTCCTCTCCGCCTGGGTGGGGCCTCCTAGGAATCCTGGAGCGTGTTCTTCCCCACCCCTGCCCTTGCCAGGTGTCCTGGCCCCTTGCTCCCGCCAGCACCCCTGGCCTTGGCTTGGCCGCCTCCGACCCGTTCACGCGAAGCACATCTGGTGCCGTGGGTGTGGGTGTGCGTGGGCGTCCACAGTGTGGAGAAACTGAGGCCCAGAGAAATCTTGGCCACACTTGAGGGAAGGAAGTCATGGTTCGTGGCAAAGAACGTGTCCTTGGAGGGAAAAGGGACTTGGGTCCTGGATCGCCTGGGGGATCTGGAGTGAGTGCAGGAGGGAGGGGGGATGCCGAGAGGGGCCGTGGGCATGCTGGTCTGACATTCCAGAGCGGGGTCGGCAGTCTGGGGCCTCATTGCTGTGTTCTCCACCCGCCCCCCCGCCCCGGCAGATTCTCGTCCTCCTGTAAATGACCGCTGAGGAAGACCATGAATGAGGCGAAGGAGTCCCTGCGAGGCATCGAGCAGAAGTACAAGCTGTTCCAGCAGCAACAGTTCACGTTCATCGCTGCTCTGGAGCACTGCAGGGAGAACGCCCACGACAAGATCCGGCCCATCTCCAGCATCGCACAGGTGGCACCTCGTGGGCTGGCGGGCGGTGGGGCCGGGCTCTTGGGGACCTGCCGGGCCCAGCGACTCCTGGGCGACACCTTGCATGGAGGGTGAAACGGCTGAGGCCCGGAGAGGGCAGGCGTGTCTGTGCCGGGATCAGGACTCAGATCCTGACGAGGCGGGAACGGGCCCTTCGTTCCCTCACCACATAAGTGAGTAAATACCAAAGCGGGCTGGAGACTCTGCCGAACGGCCAGTGTTCGGGTCCCGGCTCAGCCACACGCCCCCTCTGTGACCTTGGGCCAGTGAGTCACCTCTCTGTGCCCCAGCTGCCTCGTCTGGAAAAGACGGAGTGTGCGGATTTAAGGAGCTCGTGAGGGAGCCGCTCAGCCAGTGTCTGACGCCCGTGGTCCCAGCAGTGGGATCCCACTGGGGTTTGAGAAACCGACCCGCCAAGCACCTCGCGCCTCCCGTTTGCAGACATTGTCACCTGACCCGGGTCTCCCTGTGAGTTAGCTGCCATCCCAGTTTGCGGGACCTGGAGGCCTGGAGACGGAGCTCGCCCTCCAGGAAGAAGCACACCCCTAAGTGGGACCCCCTCCCGTCGCCGGCTGCCGGGGAGTCGGCTTCTGGAAGGCCAGCTGCTCACAGCGCTGGCGGGGCGTGGGGACCAGGGCTCAGAACCGCTTAGGAGAAGCACACAGGCCCCAGAGATAGCAACCCCTGCTGGCAACATCCTTCAACAAAAACCCTCCCTTCCGCTGTGCGTGAATATTCCTCCCAGATCTTTAACGTGAGAAATTTTAAACCTACAGAAAATACCCTCTTTCCCCTGAACTGTGTAGGAGTAAATCAGGCTCAGACTTCCAGGGAGGGGCATGGCCGGGTTTTCAGCGTCAGGATGGAGCATGTGAGACCCCTCCCCGCAGCCACGGCTCAGAATCTACGGGAGCCAGAGTGACTCCGCCCCTCAGACGCACAGGGGCGTGGCCTTCTCACCCTAGGTTCAACGAAGGGCGTGACCCCGCCCCTCAGACGCACAGGGCGTGGCCTTCTCACCCAAGGTTCAACGAAGGGCCTTGACAAACGGTGGCCCCAGGCTCCGACACTGACACTGCATGTGAAGTGTCGATTCTCGGCCCTCACCTGCACCCACCCCACCCCCACCCCCGGACCTGGGTCATCCAAAGGTGACCTGCCCACACACACCTGGTAGCGCAGAGACTCTGCTCTGTTGTAGTTACACCGGCTGGCAGGCTCCTCCCCGCCCTCCTCGGGTCCCCCGGCGGCTGTCAGGGCCTCTCCCCCCTCACAAAGCCGTTGTTCTTGGAAGGAGCCATTCGGATCATTTGGGAAGACGTCCCTGAGCAACTGAAAGGCAGCTTGGAGGAGGGAGGGGAGGCCCCCGGAGGGGACCGGGAGGGGAGGGGAAGCGTTCGTGAAATGGGCCAGATATTTCCGCCGGCACCAGGCGTGTAGGCTTCAGGTGGGGGTGTTGGCAGACCCAGCCTGCCCAGCGCTCTCGGGGTGCCTGGGACACGCAGTGACATTAACTCTACGTAGTGACTTGTGAGTCCACATGCCTCAATGTGCCTGCATCTCCCCTGTGACTCTGGGAGGGTACGAGGAACCGGTGGGGGGGGGGGGATGCTCCTGGATGTTTGGTCCCTAAACCAGCTGGGGGCCGGTGGTACCTCCTGAGCTCGCCCCACCTGGCCCCTGCAGGTGCAGAGCTACATGGAACATTACTGCAACAACTCCACGGACCGGCGCATTCTGCTCATGTTCCTGGACATCTGCACAGAGCTAAACAGGCTGTGCCAGAACTTCGAGGCCCTGCACTCTGGCACCCCGGTCACCAACAACCTGCTCGAGAAGTGCAAATCCCTGGTTAGCCAAAGCAATGACCTAAGCAGCCTGCGAGTGAAGTAAGTGGCTTCTGGGCCTGTCCCGGAGGCGTCAGCAGCATGAGCATGTGGGGAGGGCGGTGGGGTGAGGATGGGAGGGAGGGGTCCCACAGGAAGGAGCCTTCTCTCCAGAGGACAGGAATGTCGGGACTGATGGGTCATGTGGCTACTGTCCAGCACCGCCCCCCGCCCCAAGGTGGGGAATCTGAGGCCCACCGATGTACCCAAAGGGCCAACCCAACAAATCCTCTTACTGAAAACAAGGGACGCTGAGGCCCCACATACAGTGGGACACAGACGAGCCAGCACTGGGCAAGGGGAGGGGGAGTCAGAGCAGATGTTCCCAGAAGCCCACGGAGAAGCAGGACTTCTGGAGCCCATCCCTGTGGGCATATGGGCCTCAGCACCGCCCAGTGTGGCTCCCTCATTCCGAGCCCTGGGGAGTCCTCAGCACAAAGCACCATATTCCGGAGGATGCTGTTTAGTTACTGGGGATGAGGAGAGTCGGAGGGACTAAGCACATTTTGGAGCCGTTACGGGTTTCCACGGCCCCTAATCCGGGTCTCTACGACCACAGGCCAGTGGTTCAAGCATCTTGCCTCTCTATGCCAGGACTACCTACGGTTCATGGCCCCGCGAGCCCGCCGAACCACAGCGTCCAGAACCTCCCCGGGGATTGTAATGTGTGGTCAGGATTAGACACTGCCCCGGTCTGGAAGAGCCCCCTCTTGCCACCCTGCAGGTACCCTCACGATGTGGTGAACCACCTCAGCTGTGACGAGGCTAGGAACCACTACGGAGGCATCGTCAGCCTCATCCCCATGGTCCTAGACTTGATGAAAGAATGGATCGCCCACTCGGAGAAGCTGCCCCGCAAAGCTGTGCTGCATGTGAGTGAGCCCCAGGCACGCCAGGAAGCCACCGCAGCAGCCGCTCCGCCTTCCCGGACCATGAGCACCCAGTCTTGGTTAAGAAAACACCAACTTAGGCAACTTACAAAAGACAGCCCCAAACCAAGGGGGAAAGACAAAGGATGTCCAAAACCTCCCTGGAGACCACCTGGCGGGAAGCTGTAACTCAGAGCTGGCGCCCTGCTGAGCCCCGTGTGGTGGGGGGGGGGGGTTGCCGACTCTTCACTTGGGCTCCGGTCATGGCAACTGATGAACCCCAAAGGGGACTGCCCAATATACCACTGAGAACCTGTCTCCCTCTCGCTCACTTTTAAGTTCTCACCGCTCCACGCCTCTGGGCTTCAGGCTCTGCGCCCACTTCCAGTGTTGCCGGGAGAGGCTGGCGAGAGCCGGGGCACTGGCCCGCCTAGGCGCTCCGGGAGCTCCAGGCCAGCACCCTGCCAGGCCCGCCTCTCCAGGCAGAGCCACCAAGCGGGAGGCCACAGGGCTCCTTTCCCACCGCTGCGGCCACTGTAGGGTCCCTCCGTCCGCCAGGATGCTGGGGGCCGGCGCAGTAAACTTCCTCGGTGTCATTAGGTGTCTGGACCCAAGGGGGAACGAACCTGCCTCTGCTCTCCTTTACTTGGGGGAGGGAGGCCATGAGAGGGGCCGGGAGGACTCTGCGGCTCCCAAGTAAGACAGTCCCCTGGTTTCCGGGGCGCAGTCAAGGCTCTGACGTCGTAGCCTGTGTCTCTGGCCTCCGGGCTGCTGGAAGTACTGTCTGACTGTTGGTTTTTCCCTTCGCAGGGGGCGACTTAGATTCTGTATTCTTGCTTCCTCGGGGGCGACCGTCAAGAATAAAAAGTGTTCTCCCACCTGTCTGCCTGGCTTGGTTTCCTGGGACCTCTCCCTTAAAGAAAACTACGCTTACCCTAAGACATCAGAGGACACTGGGCAGTAGGCTCACAAGCAAAACCGCCAGCAAAGAGCAACCGCTAGAGACGGGAGTCTGCTCTCAGGAGGTTGAAGCCACAGGCCCCCCCCCCGCCCCCACGCCGGCGCGGTAACTCCCGTAGTTAGAGCGTACTGGGACGAGAACCCGAATAGGTATCGGGGTTCTGCGACAAAATTAAAAGCTGCCACCTCTCAGTCTTTATCTCAAAGGAGCTGCTTCCGTCGTTAAAACGGTCAGAGCACACCCGTTTCCAGGGGCAGCTGGAAACGTATGTTCCAGGGAAGGGACGGTGAGGCGAGGCTGGATCTAACAATTGTTTCAGGTGGTTTCCCGCCTTCTTCCAAACACCTGGTGACATTATGGCGGCCGCCAGCTGCACCGTTTTCTTGACACGCTCACAGAACACAACGGCAAGGCTCAGGGTTGGTAAGCTCTCCGTGATCTCGGTGCCACCTGGGCTCAACCCAACGGCCAGCCAACCCCTTAGGGCGGCAAGCACGCTCTGAGCGCAAGAGGGGACAGCAGCGTGGGCCCGGCAGGCTGTCCGGCCTAGCGGGTCTCAGGGGAGAGGGCTCCGATCACGTCTCCCACGGCACCGTGCCTCTCTTTGGGGGCAGGCGAGAACGTGAGGCGGATAAAGTAGGATCCGTGGTTGTGTGCCAGGTAACTTTCTAGAACAAAAAGGGTCTGACAGCACCTCCTCCAGCCGCTCGGGATAACCAACCAAGCCAGACCTGAGGCTTCTGCATCTTTGGGTGGGTCCCTACTCCGCCTAGGAGCCCCTCCGAGGCCAGCACGGGTCACTTCACGTCAACACAGCAGAGTAGTGCAAAACAATAGATTTTTATTTGTTCACAGTTAAACACAAGCAACTGCCTTGACATTTTAGAACATCCTAAGAAGGACAGCAAACCCTTTTGATTCCAACTCCCATTCACTAAGATTGTACCATTTTCTCTTGCAGCTCATGTTTATGGCATCTGACGTGGATTGTTTGACATGCTTTTAAGATCGAGGCGGGAAGGTTTAAACCTTTTGACGAGAGAGGACTTTCTCAAATTTAACTAAAAGCAATCAATTAAAAAAACTTTTTTTTCCACTGATGGGGACCCCTTTAAACTGCAAGTTAGCCACATGTGGGTGATCCATGATTGAGTTATAAAACTAGATTACGTCTTAGCAAAATCTGTTCCTCCGTAATATGCTTATGGTCCGCAGAAGTCTTCTGAAAAGTGATCACTGATTCTTTCTAGTGCAAAATGCCCGGCCGCCTCTTGATAAGCAGAAGTTTCTGCTGCACAGAGCAGTGCGTACCCTCCTGTCCAAACACTGTAGCAAGGTGGGGGAAGGGAGGGGGGCTCAAACTCTCCGGGGTCTCCTCTAAAAGATCTGTTCCAATGCATCAACTAGTCTACGTATCCCAGAGGGTGGACCATTTGGTAGCAATGGGAAGGGAAGGGGGCAGAGAGCTCCTCTGCCTTCATTCATTGGTTTCAAGGCCAAAAGCGGTCATGGGCACAGGCTTCTGATGTCGCTACAGCCACTCTTCCCTCAGGTGAGCTTGTGCAGACCGTAGACGGCGGGGAAAACACAGATACCCCGCTCTCCCCGCACATGTCACAGAGTCACGGACGGGGACACTGGGAACAAGGGTCACAGCAGCAGCCTCAGGGCCGGGCCCCGACCTAAACTGGCTCTTTCCCTCTAGAGAAAAGCGCCATCTGGTGCGGTGGATTCCTCCACGGCATCAGGGGAGGGGAGGGCTCACGGTACAGAGCTGGGGCGGGGGGTGGCGCGTAAACAGGTACTCAGACATGTTCCGGAGACACGTCCTGGCACTCGCTGCCGGTCAGTTTCGAGCGTGTGCCTCGAGAGTGAAAGGGCAGCAGAGGAGGTGTGCTGGTGGGGGCCGTTCCACGAGCCCGCTCTCTTCCCCGCACGAGACGTGCTCTGGGTGGGGTGGGGCTTCTCCGGGGACCACTCTGAAGAGGGGCTGGCCTGTCCCCAAACATCCCAGGGCGGGTGGCCCTCCACCTCGACTGTGCTTCTGGACCAAGCCTGCCCTCTGCCCACACCCTCCATAACCTGCCCTCGCTTCCGCCCACCTCCCGGTGCTTTCCGTCAAAAGAACGGTCATCTTGTGGCTTCGAGTGGTAGGTTCTAGTATTTGGTAAAAACTCCTGCTGGCTAGTCACAGCACGTGCTAGATGCTCTCCGCAGAAATGCCCAACATTTTATTCGGTGAGCCTGAACCCCTGCGGCCCGGCTCACAGGGACCCGTCGCCCCACTGTCCTAGTCGCCCCCTTCTACACGACTGTGAGACCCTGGCCTTTTGTGACAAAAACACCAGAAGCTACACGGGCTGGGGCAAATGGGGACGGAGCAGGGTCCGGGGTTTGGTCCGCTGTTGGGATTCTGCCCCCCGAGGCGCTGCCCTCCAGGCCGGCCGGCCGACGGCACAATGGGCTCTGTTCCAGCATCCGCGGCGTCCAGTCTACCTGCCCAGGAGAGCCGCGCCCTCTCCCCTGCACATGGTCCGCTGCTGCGGCTCACACGGGAGCTTACCGGTCCTTTGTCTCTGCACACACGGGGCCTCGAAAGAACCCTCGGCTGGCAAAGCGAGCGAGGTCATGTCCGCCCACCGCAAGAGGCCGGTCCTAGCACTCATCCGCGAGGAAACCTTTAAAACCCTCTTGCCCCAAGAAACGACCTTTGTCTCCTACCTTTGTTTTCTGACTCCTGGATAGATCTGTCTTCCGGTGCTATGCTAACCAAGTTTATAAGCTGCACGGCAGAACCCCGTCAAAAGCTTTTTAAAAATCCCTAAAAGCTCTGAGAGAGGTCCACGTGCTCATGTCCCGTGGCAGATTCAGGACCACGTTTTCTCTATGGAGACCACGCTGCCACTCCCCCCCCCCC